GGAAATAAAACAAAGGTGTCCCAATTGACAGTTCAGCTTTCAGTATAATTTGGCACCTTGGTTTATTCTGACCATCTCAAGGGCTACTTTGTTGTGCTGCTGCCCCAAGCCCAGGGCTGTCTCTTAGGGACAAAACCTGACAGTGGAGCCAGGGCTGGTTTGGGCCACACAAATGCTGCAGCACCTCAGTGGGGTGAGAGGGAATAGGGGGACAATCAGTCAGGCTCAGAGTGAGGTGTGGTGAGACCCCAGGAGGCTGCAGACAGATTTGAAGGTGACAGGGGGAGTAATGGCATTGAGGAGTTGAGACAGGCTCTGTAGCTTTGGGGGCTGGAAAGAAATTCCAATGAAACTGCTGGACTTGGAGGAGTTGTATTCCAGAGTCACTTAGGCCAGGAGTGAATGTGCTTGTCAAGATGAGCTGGGAGCAGCAGCCTCCCTGCAGGGGTGGGATGGGAGGATGTGCAGTCACTGCTCTGCTCTGGGGTTTCTGTTTCCTCACACGCTGGGGTGCCCCGAGGTACCATCCTGCCATCTGCAAAGGGGCCAAGGTAAAGTTCAGGGTCAAGAAACACTAAATTTTCCTCTCCATCCTATGGTGGGATCTTGCTTTTCCAGAGGCTTTCCAGGAGATGGGGAGGAGACCCTGCTCAGAGGTGTCTTTGAAAAAGCATTCCTGTCAGGGGAACAGAAAGGACCAAGGGCTCAGTAGCCACACATAAAGTGGGTTTACCTTCTATGTGGGGTGTTTTACACTCTTGCAGGCTTCAAAACAGTCTTCCTGGCATGGGGCAGATACTACAAATTCACTTTATTTATGTGAGGAAGATGCTGAGATCTTTTACTCAAAGGGATTTTTATGCACTGAGACCTTTCACACTGAGAGGACAAAGCCTCTAGATCCCCTGGAGCGAAACACTGGCCCAAATTGTGCCTCCCTCTTTCTAGCCACACACTGGATTTTTCTATTCTGGATCAAGTATCCAGCCCAATATCACGCCGAAAAAGGCATACACTGGTGATCAGAGTGCTGGTGTTTAGCAGGATTGGTTATGTCTGTACATATCTGTTTACAAAGGTGGTTGGATTTCACTGGAAAAGGGACTTGTCTAGTGATTAAACCTGGTAATGTCAGCGGCTTGGAAAGGTATCTTTGCCCTTTTGATATGGAAAAAGGAATTCAGAACAGGAGCCAATGCACTTTAAGGCTTTGGCACTTTAGTTTGTCCTGCCCATTCTGTCAAAAAGGGTTTGCATTTTAAATTCGTGTTTGAATGTGGAAACCAGTGAGCTGAAAACCTACCACACAGAATTCCTTTCCTTAGGGAAACGATCCCAAGGTACTTGGCAATGTATAAATACAGAAGCAAGAAATCACAACCAGCTAACTCTGCCCTGAGCAGAGCCAGGTACTTGGGTACTACCTAAAGAACAACTTCAGTAATACAGCAGCAGCTTAATTCCCCCTGCCTTAATCACTGTCTTACGATAGTGTTTGTGCTGGGACTAAACAAGACAGCTCTAAGGTGCTTAATCCTTTTGCAGGGGTGCCCTGTGCTGGGGCTCCAGCGCTGCTCACAAAGGGCCTGGGAGCACCAATTGTCACAGAATTAAATCGTCTCCAGAAGCGCAAATTCAGAGCGTCTCCTGCCGTGCCTTTCCCGACTGAACACGACTGCCCTCCTGGAGGACCTGCTTCCAGCCCTGCTGCCGGGCTGCCCTCCCTGCTCCTCCTCAGGAACAGCCCTTGCTGACTGCAAGCTCAGAGTTCTATTTTCCTCCTCAATTCTGGTTGAAAAAACGCTTCAGTCAGTGAATTGCGGGATCTTGACCCTGGGGTAATTCCCCGGTGGAAAAGGCAGCGATCCCGGTCTCTGCTGTCCCCCCGCATTGGCGCCGTGCAGGTGCCGGGCTCACGCACCCAAACTGCGCCAGGGCTCTGCCCTCAAACCTCCCCGAACGCGCCTTTCCCTTCCCAGCCTCCCGGCCGGCCCCATTCCCCGACCCCAGAGACACCTCCGGGAGCAGCACTTCCCAGCAGGGCTGTCCTGCATGAGGAGAGTCCTGGGGCTCCAACAGCTGCTCGGGGTTTGAGTCCCCTTGGCAGATGTTCGCTATTCCAGCCACTTCATTAATTTTGGAAACAAAACCCCTGATTATTCACGACCAAAGCACCCCCTTTTTGATTGACAGCCAGCGTGTGTTTCAGACAACATAACCCACGTATTGCTCTGGCCAATTGCTTTTTAAAAAATCATGAAAGAAATCAAGTTTCGCGCTGATCCCACCTGCCAGTTCACCCCCCTGGCTCAGGTGAGGGCACTGCGTGCCCAGGGCACGGCAGAGGTGCCAGCCCCTCTCTCTGGATATTCAGCTCTTCAGATGGGAGAAGGAAACGTTTAAAGACAAGCAGAGACTCTTGTCCTGGGATCAGTTTGTGTGTGAGTTCAGCGAGCCCACACTTTGCTTCCCCTCTTGATTTCTGATCTAGTCAGGATCTTGGAATAGTCTCGGATTCCCAGTGTTGTGCTCTCAGTTCAGGAAACATTGCTGTGCTGTCGGGTTTTGCACAGGCAGTGAATGCACAGGATTTGGGAGGGGGTGGAGGGGCTGCAGCTTCTGCCCAGACACCGAGGGAAAGCTTTGCTGCAGCTCCGGGGTTTAAATCAGTGGCTTGCTCAGGATGTTGCTTCCGAAATATTCTTTGCAATAATGTGCAGGAAGCAGTAATTGCTGAAGGTAACGTTGCTGGTAATTATTTTGTCTCCTAAAAAAAAAAAAAATAAAGTGTCTGGAAAAGGCAAAGAAAGTAGCTCTTAAAATGGTTTACGTGTGAACGAAGAGGTGAGTTTTCATAAAGTACATTCATAACGAAGTCAGTTCATCTCCTTAAATATCCATAGTCGGTTTAGGAATTAAAGCAACTGTTTAAGTAATTTAAAAAGAGTTATGCCATCAGGGAGGGAAGAAGTCCTTGAACCCTTTAGTTGTTATCATACTAGTGAAATTCCTGGTACCAAGATGGCTTTAGTTTCTCAAAATAAAAAGAAACAAAACCATTTCCAGCCAATTTATTTTAAATTGGAATGTCCTCCCAGTGATTTAATGAGCAAAATATTTTTCTTTAGCTTTGTTGTATTATAATTTGCTGTGCCGTGTTTTTTTTTTTAAGTAATAAAGTTTTAAGAAAATAAATTCAACAGACATATCAAAAGTCTGATATTTCCTTGCATTTGCCTTCCAGTTTTGACAGCGTGTGGACAACACAAATATCTTATTTTGATTTTGGGGCTCTCCAACTCAGCGAATGTATCTTTGAAATGAAAGGCAAATGGTACTTTCAATTGAAAAAGAAATATTGCTTTCACAAAAGAGGTCAAAGATAGTTTTGTAGTTTTTTGAGGGCTTTTAAAAAATACAGTTGACAAAACAAAAGTTGCCCAAATCGTTGAGGAGAGTTTGAGATGGTTGTTGCCTTCTGCAAAAACAGGTTGAGTTTTCTACGAGTAAAATAGGAGTTTGCTGCTATTTGGATCACCGGAGCGTGAGAGCTGAGGGTGGCTGATGACTTTTTGCAGATTATATTTAAATCCTTGTATGAAGCCTACAAATAATATTTTTTTTGGGGGTAACAGATCTCCATAATGAGCCTGTCTTTTCCCATGTAAAGCCTGCGAGCCGGCTGTGGCTTCTGGAAGACCTGCAGTTCATCGGGAGGATTCCACCGATTCCCCGGTACAGGGTGTCCTGGTGATTCCTGGGCTCAACCAGATGTCCGAGGCCACGGAGCTGAGAAATAAAACTCAGAGCTCAGCCTGGGAGGGAAATTTTCAGTGGGGAAACCTCTGCCCTCAGAGGAAGGGGCTCAAAGCTCAGCTTGGTGAAAAATCCAGCTGAACTAAGCAGGAATACGGCAGAATATCCTCTCGGACTCGGGGACCGAGTAACGCCATTTCGGAGAAAAACATCTTCTAAATATTAGGTATATATTCTATATGTCCCTATAGGTGCAAGGCATCTATAAACAGGATTTTTTTTCTCTCTCTGCCGCTCTCCAGCACTTCGCGGCCGGGGAATGGGTTTGATGCCGGTCCGGGAAAGTTGTCGGGGCCGGGGATGCGGCATTTTAGGTTTTTTTAAGTAATTACAGTCTAGAGGACGGAGATCGGAGGAAGAAGAAAGGAGGAAAAAAAAAATCCAGCCCCAATCTGGAACCTTTCCAGTTGTTGCACAAAAAAAAAAAAAAAAAAAAAAAGAAAAAAAAAAGCCAAGCCAAGCCACACACCCCGGTATCTTAAAATAGCGAGCAGGGAGGGGAGAGGAGCGACGGATCCTCCCAGCCCGGCGCGGGGTGACAATGGGGCTCGGCGGGGAGCAGCGGGAGCCCTGATTGACAGCCCGAGCCTCCTAAAAAGGCCGCGCGGCCATGGCAGAGATGCTTCTCGGAGCCTTTATATAGAGGGGAGAGCGCGGAGCGGCCGCGGAGGGACCGGCGGGGACACCGCGGGGACACACCGCGGGGAGACAGGGGACACAGCGGGGACACAGCGGGGACACCGAGGGGACACCGAGGGGACACAGCGGGGACACCGAGGGGACACCGAGGGGACACAGCGGGGACACAGCGGGGACACTGAGGGGACACCGAGGGGACACAGCGGGACAGAGCGGGGCACAGAGGGGACACAGCGGGGACACCGAGGGGACACAGCGGGAACACCGCGGGGACACCGAGGGGACAGAGCGGGGGCACAGAGGGAGACAGAGGGGACAGGGCAGGGACACAGCAGGGACACAGTGGGACAGAGCGGGGGTACAGAGGGGACACAGCGGAGCACAGCGGGGACACAGAGGGAGACAGAGTGGACGGAGTGGGGACACAGCGGGGATACCGCGGGGAGACAGAGGGGACACAGGGGGACACCGCGGGGTCCGCTCGGGCCGCCGGCCGCCCATGCGAGCCGGGCGCGGCCCCGGTAGCCCCGCGCAGGGGTCCCGCCATGCACGGCCACCCCCAGCCCCATTCCCGGCCCCCTCCCGAATCCCAGCCGCATCCCCAGCCGCGGCTCCCCGCGCCCGGCCGGCCCAAGGCAGGCAGGAGGCGCTACAAGACCTTCATGATCGACGAGATCCTCTCCAAGGAGACCTGCGACTACTTCGAGAAACTTTCGCTCTACTCCGTGTGCCCGTCGCTGCTGGTCCGGCCCAAGCCGCTGCACTCCTGCGCCGGTAAGCCCGACCCCGGGGGGCCGGGGGGTCCCCGAGCGATGCCCGGGGCTCGGAGAGGTCGGGGGGGCTCGAGCGAGCGGCTCCTGAACCTCCCACCGCATCCCAGCGCTGCCCTGGATGAACCCCGGCTTTCCCATCCCAACCCCGCAGAAGGGATTGCTCCCACTCCCGCTGTTTGCCAGCGCGGGGATAGTTCTTAGTTACCAGCTCCTACTTCCGTTGGTTACTATCGGCTGTTAGTTACCATCTCGTGCTACCAGTTATCCGTTGGTTACTATCGGCTGTTAGTTACCATCTCGTACAACCAGTCACCCGTTAGTTACTCTCCGTGGGCAGCGGTGGGTTCAGCTGAATCGCCCTCGGGGTGATCACAAATCCACAATCAGCTAAAGACGAGGAGTTAAAGAGCTCCACAGGAGCAGAAATCGCCCTTCACCTCGTGCTCATTGAAACCTCCGGTGATTATTTCATTGCATCTGTGGGAGTGCAAAGAAATTAAGAGAAATACTGGGAAAAGGAAGAAAAAATGCTATAGAGGTACAGCTTTTCTACCCTAAATTCTCATGTCTTTGAAAGAGCTTAGGCTGTTTTTAACAGTAAAGATAAGAAAATAATTCTGATGATTTTGCAAACAGAGACACCACAAATAAATACACCAAGTGGCTCTGCCCTGTACAGGCAACACAAGGAGTGACTGGGTCTTGATCATGCGTGTTATAAAATTTCCCAAGCAGACTTGTCTAATGTGAGCCTTTAAAAATCCACATTAAAAGTAAAAATAGTAGTCTTAGAATGCATTTCAGATTGTAAATAACAACAACAACAACAACAACAACAACAATAATAATAATAATAATAATAAAATCCCTCTCTCTGGTGAAGCAGGAAGTTTTGCAGGTTTCTGTCCGGTTTCTGTCCTTCTCATAAGGCCACCCTTCCAGTGGTGACACCTGATGTGTTCAGAGAAATGAGACAATGAAACTGCAATTTAAAAATACAGTCTTCAAAAAATCTTATCTATTGACAAATATTCATAAAGGACTAATTGCCAGTAAAAATAATATGTATTTCAAGGTCATAGAATTCTAGTTTTCCTTTTTCTCTTTCCTGGGAAAGCTCATTTTGTATTTGTATTAAGTTGTGTTCAAAAACTCAGTGCCTGCACTTTGCCTTAGGTTTGTTGGTTTGGTTTGTGGGATTTTATTGCTTGGCTGAATATAAATAAGAAGGATCTTTTCAGCTCTTAGCAGAGCTGTGCTAATAGAAAACTTGATGTTGGGGTATATTAAGAGTTTGACGAGTAGAGTAAATCCTTGGTCCAAGCACAAATCTTCCTCCAACCTCAATATTTATTTTGTAAATACGACTTATTAAAGATCCAGAAGGGATTAGGAGGCTGGATCAGAATTAAGGCTCATGATGACCAGCTTTGGGGAAGAAGAAGTTGCCTGAATAGTGTGATCCTCACTCAACATTTCCTTCTCCCGATGGGTTTGCCCATGACGTCCCTTCCCTTCCCGAACGAATCGCTGACATGTTTTTATGTAGGAACTGGTTGTTAATCAAGATATTGCTGACAAGGGAATTTTTCAGAGCTGATCCCTTGCTACTGCACAGACAGGGAAATTCAGTGCTTGGCCAAAATAGGCACGACGGTCCCAAAGGGGTTCAGTGTGTAACACGGAGGCCCCGATTCCGCCCACAGACCTCAATCCACCAGGATAAGGAAAGAGGTTTTCCTCTCCTTCTCTACAGAAAGAGAGAGAATTAGACAAGAAAGTCTCTTTAGCACCTAAAAGGAATATTATCAATGTCCAGAAGCTGTATGAATAACTCAGCATCAAAAAATACAGCCTGGGTGTCACCTAAGGGCTCCTCGGGATTTTGGATGGGTGAGGTGTTTCCCAGCAGCTGGTTTGACTGTCACCAACCCCATCGGAAAAAAAAGAGAAAAATTTTAAATACATTGTTCTGGGTCAAGCATTGTCTGTGCAAGAGGAATTTATATTAATGAAATAATCAATATCCTCGGATGATTCAGCAGTGGATTCGGAGTGATGCTGCTGTGCCTCCTGTGCTTACTCTTCAATTAAAGCCCTATTTCTCTTTGTGCCTGGGATCTTTAATGAATTTGTCTCAAGGTTGTGTTTCTGGCCCAAGCTCTGGCCTGTCCCTGTGTCAGCCTGGTTGTGAGTATCTTGCTTTTAATGGAATAAGCTTCATGGACTTGCAGTGCTCGGGAAGTGAAATACAGAGAGAGACTGTGGATTAAAACTAAAGAATAAACTGCTACAAAAGTCCATGGTTCCAAACTGTCAGATCTTAAGGTTTATAGGCACAATTAAAGGATTATATGTATTAGGTAATGGGAATTCTTTTAATTATAGAAGACAGGAAATTATTGACTAAGAAACAGTACCACAAAGGAGAACTAAATGTCAAAGACCTTGAACAATAACCAATACAAATCTGTAAATAAAATTAAAAAACCAAACGAACACAAAAAATAACCCAAAGACACACACACAGAGAAAATAAACAAAACAACCCCAAACCACCTGGGGACTAAAGGCTGCAGAAATACAGCACTATGGCATTTAACTTACTGCCCACCTTTGCTTTGCCTCTGGAGTTAATCAGGACGGAGTGAGCACTTAGTCTCTTCAAGATCTAAAAAACTTAGTCTTAACCCAAATCTAAACCACAGAAATTTGCCTTACTGTAAGGTAAGCTGGGACCTGGGAGGGTTTGAAGCAGAGATGAGTAACAAGTTTCTCCAGCTGAACCCCTTTTCAGTGGCTTTTTGTCGAGTCGTGAGTCAGGTTTTGTAGCTGTTTTCATGGGCTAAAGAGTTAATATTTCTTTCATCTTGGGTGAAGTCAGGGAAGGCTGATCTGCCTTTATAATTTATTTGGAGCTGAAAGATAGAAGCTGTTGTACGTGTGCAGTCTGTGTGTTCAACAACAGCCCTCGTTAAGTGACGAGAGATTGGAAAACTTCGGTGACCCGGCGGAAAATGGGGCTCCTTCGGCTGTGATGGAATGTTGAATATTTGAGTGAGTGCAGCTGAATTGGGAAAAAACAGATCAGCCAAGCAGAGGGAGAAGGGGGGTGAAAGGAGCGTTTGGGACTTTTCCTGGGCATGGTGAGGTCACAGATTGACAGTTTAGTTGGAAGGAGCATTCGGGAGGTCTAATGCAAAGCCATCGATGTCACTGGGGAGATTCCTATTGCAGAGAGCCTGGAATAACCCCCAACCCAAATTTTTCTTTGGAAAGAAAACTTTTTCCCTGTGAAAGGGTTCCATCCCCATCTTAAAATTCGGTGTTTGAAATTGTGGCATTTATTGAGCAAATAAACAAGGCTGTACCCACACCAAATCTGTAACAAAATGCTGGTCTGGGTCCAGAGCCACTAAAAAAATTTAAAATAAATATTAGAAATATTTTTGGATGGTGGGTAATACTGCTTTCACTTGTGACTTTTTGGGTTGTGAGAACTGAGGGAAAATACAATTTTGCTTCATGGTATTTATATTTTTATTGGCTTTTCATATTCTGTCATAGCTAATTAATTTGTATAAGTAATGACACAGTGTTAATATGTGTGGTTTGTTACACTGATTGCTGGAGGTTTAGCAGACTCCTGTAAGAATCACTTTTCAAATTGTCTTTATATAATTTTTCAATTTTGCATTTTAAAATATCCGCTGTAGAGTCTGTTCCAATTCTGGTTTGTCTCCTGTATTTTTCATAATCTTGGGTAAGCCATACATTTAAAATCCCAGTTGCCATATTTGTAGTTTTGTGCATGACAAAGAATTCAAGGACATTGTCAGCATGTGATGTTACAAGGTAAAATTGGAAATGCTCCGTATTTATAAAAGGAACTAAAATAGTTTAAAAATGAAATCCAAGGTGGTCGTGGCTGCGGTGTGGAGGGGAATTGTGTGAGATCCCTGGTCAGGGTGGAATTTGTGACATTGTGTATTAATAATCAACAATATTGCTCTTGGATGGTGTTTTTTAAGCTCTCCAAACAAACTGAGATGTCTGGATTGCAAAGCCTTGCATTGCTCTCAGTCACAGACTCTGCAGTTATTTCAGCAAAGTTGGTCGTACAAATTATTCGTTGTCTGCTGGGTGTTCATTTGTACCAGGCCCTATTCCAGAGCTCATAAAAAAACCCCAAATTTGAATATATCTTAGTGGTTTATAATTTAAACCTTAATGAGCATCAGTGTAATTTATGTCTGTCCTAAGCCAAGGTTTTTCCTGATGCCTGTCTCAGATGGGGCTGTGCTGGTTTCTCTTTAATTGCTATACCTGAACACCACCTTGGAAGGCACAAATACATCAGTATATTGTGAGAGAATTAGCTACTGAACATAAAGATATTTACCCCTGTGGAAGGAGTGTTGTGTCCAAGGGGATTCTACTGCTCCATGTACATTTAAAAGCACCACAACTCCAGAAGTGGAACTTTCATCTTCTCCTCTTGTTTACTTACTTTTGAAAATTTACTACTCTTCTTCCTGTGCAACAAATTGCCTCTAAAGAACACTAATAATTATTATCACTTGCTTTCCTTGAAATTATTATTGGGATTTTTGGCTTGGTGGATTTTTTTGTTTGGGGCTTTTTTTGAGACCAAGACGTTGCTCGGTGTTTGTGCGATTGGGGTTTCAATGTAGGCAGGTGTCTAAAATTGCTCAAAACTTGAATTCTTCACTTCCAGTTCTGTGTCTGTCTTATGCTGTTTTATATTAGGATGATATTAGGAACTGCTTTTTTTTTTTTTTTTTAACTGTCATTTTCCTTGTATCCATGGTATTTTCTGGATTAAACTGAACGATACCCGCCAGGGCCTGCAGGGACTCATTGCTCAGGAGACAAAGTGTGACCTTTGATGTTTCTGGTTCCTCACTCAGCCTTTTTAGGGAACCACAGTGAGAAAGTAGATTTACTTTACATTCCCTCAGCCTGTAATCTTGAGCTAGG